CCCCCCCTTCATGATTTAACAACATACATAACCCACATGTGCTTTGCCTACATAAACACCAGTTGTCATTACTTACACACTTAAGATCATTTGAAGGTATTATGGGGAAATGTTGCCCAGAAAAACAGAAATTTATTTGACTTAAAACCTAGGGGGTCATTTAAAAGGTCAGTGCAGCTACACTGATGTTAGTGGCTTTATTTCAGTCTGTTGCATTAGGGATAAATTTGGTGTGGTTTAAAAATACATGCACTTATCTTCCCGTGGCTCTTGAAGAGGTAAGGTAGCTTGGGAGCCCAGCCTTTTCATGCCTTTCAAGACAAATCCACTCAAAAAGGAAGGGTTAAATTAAAAACAGACAGCCTTGATATGATCAAAATGGGAGCCTGGCTGCAGGAAAGAGGTCTGAAGAGCTCAGTTTGAGTAGCCACACACGTAACATAGAGAGAGGTCTTTTGAACACAAAGCATAGCTTAATGGAGAATGTTCTATGCATGATGCTTCAGGCAAAACCGCTCCCCACCCCGAGGGAGCGGGGTGCCTCTGCCTGGAGGCTCACTGGGTGCTGCTGGCGAGAGGGAAAAACACTTCTGTGCTTCACCGCAGCCACTTTCCCCATCTACATCCCGTCTGCCTTTGCCTGCATCTACCTTTTCTCCGCAGGTCTCCAAGACCTGTCTCAGCTGGCTCCCAACCCTGCCTCCTACCACCCTGCAAACTCACTGTGGAAAATCATGGCTCCCAGGAGTCCAGCGATACCATGTTCATGACAAGAGAGATTTTTAAAATTCATCTTAATTGATGTGACATAGGAGTGCAGCTAAAGGCAGTGGTGGGAAGCCCCTTCAGTACTGAGTTAGGTCTGCACTAGAGGTTTTTACTGGCATTTCAACATGACCAAAGATAATATTTTAATGTTGGCAACCCTCTAGTATGCTTTGACACCAGCTCAAGTTCGAGGAGGGCTCGGTCATGGGCTTTGAGGTTAAGCTCTGCCTAAAACAACAGGGCCTAGCAGGTTGTCTCAGGATGGATAGTGCAAATGACAGGGCTGGTAGAGGGTGGGAGGGGAAAGAAAGTGTCAGAGAAGAGTTTACCTCCTAGCTGGGGTTGACAGCAGCACCAGGAGAAGATCCAGCCCGGTCTTCCAAGGCTTCCATAGCTCTGCCACCCCTTGGCTTTTGTGGCCTTGAAAATAGGTTGTCCCACAGCCCACGGGCTGGCATTCTCCTTCATTTGTAGCTGAGATGAAGAGAAGACAGAATGAGAAATAGAGAAGTAATCAGCCTGTTGATTTTATTCCAAGACAATAAACACTCAGGTTAAAAGCTGGGTCTGTGTTATTTTGACAGTCACAGAATCTACCCACAAACTTCACGGCAATTTCAGGGCTACAGTTCTAGGTAAAAAGCACAGGGGGGGTGGAAGTGTTGCTGATGCGAAGGGACGACATCACGAAGTGATTGAGACAGGAAGGTACTTTTGAGGCTTGTGTCACTACCCAGAATTGCAAGAATTTTGGGGATAAAAAGAGATAGGGCATCAATGACAGGCAAAATAA